TCTACCTTCATGAATGGACTTCAATGGTGGGCCAAAATGGAGCTCCAACAAAGAGGAGTCAAAGAGCTTTCACAGGCTTTGGTTGAAGCCGACGCTATTGAAGAATTTGAAACTCAGAGATTCAAACCTTCCAAACCAAAGCCAAGACCCAAGGGAAATGGTGGGGGAAATAAAGAGAGATCAACTAAGATGGGATCCGAGAGGCCTTCGAGAAAACCAAATAACAAACAATAAATATTTCAGAAGCCATGGGAGAAGAATAATAAATCTCTCAAGTGTTTCAAGTACGGAGGGAAGTACAATGATAAGTTTTGTCTATAGAATGAATTGGTTACTGTTATCAAGGAAAATGATGCTAGAGAGAAGACTTCTAATCTTGATTACATCATTTGTTCTATCGAGACCAAGAAAGGGCATGCAAAGAAGGGGTTGATGTTTGTAGATGTTAGCGTGATATGTCAGAATTTGAGTGCACTAGTTGACACAAGTGCCTCAGAATTGTTCATGTCCGAGCAGACTACAAAGAGACTTGACCTTCGTGTGGACAAGGTAATAGGGTTTATCAAAACAATCAATTACAATGAAGCTTTGATTGCTTGGGAAGAAAAATGAGTTGATCTTGTATTGAAGATTGGAATGGTAAGGAACCCATCAAGGTAATCCTACTAGATGATTTTGATTTTATGATTGAGCTTAGTTTCCTTAACCGTATTAGCGCATTTGTTGTACCATGTCACAATTGTTTAGTGATTATTGACCCAAAGGGTCAAGGTATTGTTTCGGTAAACTGAGGTTCTAGAATTGAGTCTAAGATGTTATCGACTATTCAGTTTGCAAAGGCGGTGCGCAAGAAGAAACTGACCTTTTGGCATCTTTAGTTATTGATGAGGTTGCCAACGTGGACCAAATCTTAGAGGAAGTGGGGAAAGTGTTAGCTAAATTTGTGATGTGATGTCTTCGAAATTGTCAAAGAGTTTACCTTTGAAGAGGGAAGTGGATCACAAGATTGAACTTGTGCCGAATACCAAACCCCTTCCAAGGTCTCTTATCGAATGTCTCCGTCTGAATTAGAGGAAGTGCAGAGGCAATTGAAAGAATTCATCGATGTTGGATTCATCCGTCCATCAAAATCACCCTTTGTGCCCCAGTTCTATTACAAAAAAAGCATGATGGGTCGCTTTGGATGTACATCGATTATCGAACTTTAAATAAGCTTATAGTAAAGAATAAGTATCCAATCTCTTTGATTGATGACTTATTTGATCAACTTAGTGGTGCAAGGTGGTTCACCAAGATGGATCTCAGATCTGCGAATTATCAGGTCAGAATTGCTGAAGGAGATGAACCGAAGATAACATGTGTGACGTGCTATGGTTCATATGAATTTTTGGTGATGCCTTTCGGCCTCACAAATGTTCCTGCCATTTTTTTCACTCTCATGAACAAGTTATTACAATCTTTTTTATATCATTTTGTTGTTGTTTACCTTGATGACATTGTGATTTATATCAAGTCACTTAAGAGCATGTGGAACACTTGATAAAGGTGTTCAATGTGTTAAGAGAGAACGAGCTCTATGTGAAAGAAGAGAAGTGCTCGTTTACCCAGAAACAGGCCACATTCCTTGGCCATATTGTGGGAGATAGAAAGCTTTAGATGGAAAGGGACAAAATCCAGGCGATTGAGGAATGGAATATGCCAATCAAAGTAACAAAATTGAGATCATTCCTAGGTCTAGACAATTACTATCGGCGTGTGAAAGGCTACTCCAAAATTGTCGCACTTTTGATCGAACTACTAAAGAATGACAAGGTATGGGATTGGGATTCAAAGTGCCAGGATGTTTTTGATGCAATTAAGCAAGTCATGGTTGGCGAGTCGATAATGGTGTTGCCAAATTTCACCAACCCGTTTGAGATATACAGTGATGTATTAGATGTTGAGTGGAGTCCTTATACAGGAATGACATCTGGTTGCATTTGAATACCGAAAGGAGATATTTGGCTCATGAGAATGAAACGACAATGGTAATGCATTGTTTGCGCATATGGCGACATTATGTTTTGGGTTCAAGGTTTGTTGTATTTACTGATAATGTTTCCAAAAATTATTTTCTAACATAGAAAAAATTGTCTCCCAAGCATACTCATTGGTAGGAATTTCTTGCAGAGTTTGATTTTTCCTTAGAGTACAAGCCGAGGAAAGTGAATTTCATTTTTGATTCCTTAAGTCGAAGGTATACCTTGGAGTTCATTAGCTTGCTTGAGGTAACATTTCTAGACTGTGCTATGAGGGGTTGTCCCATGACCCAACGACCAAAATATTGATTGATCTTGTCAAAGATGGGAAACTATAAGGTTTTGTCTCGAAGGGAACTTACTGTATGCACGAGGACACCGCCTCTATGTTCCTCAATATGGAGAATTTCGTAAAACACTCATGAGAGAGTGTCATGACTCTCAATGGGTGGGACATTCGAGGATGAACCAGACTTTGTCTTTGTTGGCCGAGCACTACAACTGGTCACACATAGACGATGATGTTGAAACCTATGTGAAAACTTATCTTGTGCGCCAACAGGACAAGATAGAGATGAAGAAGCTAGTGGGGCTACTACAACCATTGTCTATTCCAAAACGACCATGGGAAAGTGTTTCCATGGATTTCATTGTTGGTTTACCGAACACTGATGGTTTGTCTAATATAATGGTTGTTGTTGATAGGTTTTCCAAGTATGGGACTTTCATTCTGGCTTCGAAGGTGTGTCCGGTCGAAGAAGTAGCTTGTCTTTTTCTCAAGCATGTGGTGAAGTATTTGGGGTTTCCAAAGTTGATAATTAGTGATTAGGACACACGATTCACTGGAGACTTTGGACACAGTTGTTCAAACTGATGGGATCAGACTTGAATTTCTCCATGACTTACGATCCACAGACAGATCTGCATACTGAGAGAGTGAATGCCCTCGTGGAGATCTACTTGAGGCACTATGTGAGTGCCACACAACGCCATTGGTTGAAGTTGTTGGATGTGGGTCAATTTTCTTACAATTTGCAACGGAGTGAGGCCACAAACCAAAGCCCATTTAAGATCGTGACTTGCCAGCAACCATTGACACCTAACACGATTGTTGCCAAGTATGAGGGGCCTAATCCAGCATCACACAAGTTTGTCAGGGAGTGGCAAGAACATCTTGACTTGGCCCAAGCTTGTTTGAACTAGGCAGGAAAATGAACCAAGAAATGGGCATTTCGAAGGCACATAGACGTGAATTTTCAGGTTGGTAATCTTTTCCTTGCCAAGTTGATCAATTTTTAAGCAACCTAAATGTTCACAAAGGGCTTGTTCAGAGATATAAGGGTTCATTCCAAGTTTTAAAGCGAGTAGCCACATGGCCTATACATTGGAGTTACCTCCAACCATCCGAGCACACCCTTTGTTCCATGTTTACTTAAGCCTTATCACAAGGATGAGGAGAGTCCAAACTGAGGCACATCACACCAAGCACCACTCGGAGTTAAGGTTTCCCATCAGAAGGAAGTTGAAGAGATCCATGCGGAGAGATGTATCCGATGACCCGGTCATCGACAAAGGCATGAATACTTTGTTTAGTGGAAGAGACTGCCAGACAGTGAGGGGATTTGGAAACTAGCCAAGGGACTTTGGAAATTCAAAGATCAGATCGAGCAATACCAATCTAGCCGCGCGACGAGGGCGTCGCTAGAATCAGTGGGGGGAGAATGTCACAGACTGCCAGTCTATGATCGAGACAAGTTCAGGGCTGAACTAGTCAGGATACCACTAAGGCCATCCCGGGCCACCAATGGAGTTTGAAGAACATCCTAGGCCACTTTAGCTGAAGCTGGCCCGATTTACACAAGTCTTTTCTTATTTATATATTAATCTTTTATTTGAATTTAAAATAAAGATAATGTAAAGATTTAGCTAGATTTCCTTTTAATCTTAGCCATTGATTGTATTCAATTTCACCTGTTGGATGTAGGGAGCTTCAATTATAAAGAGGCTTACTCCCACCTCATTTTTCACTTAAATTTTGAGGAATAAAGCTAAGTATTCTCTCAAATTCTCTTGTTCTTGTGCGTGAGGCATTTTCCTTTCGAAGATATGTTTGCTTCCACATTTCTTTCTAAGTCTTTTTACTTAGCTTGTTCAGGATGACTTAGGCGTTGCCTTTTGAAAAACGTCTAAGGCCACACAGTTCCGCTAGTTGAAATTCTAGGAACGTGACAATATGCTTCACTGAATTGTTTCATTTCTTTCCAGTCAAAAAATAAAATAAAATAAAGATTTTAGAACTTACACTAAACATCAAAAGAAATATTTTTAGATCAACGGAAGTCAAAAAAATATTAAATTAATTTTAGGGATGTTATATTTGAGTTTCCTTTGATAAGGTGAGAAATATTTTTCTAGATTTCAAGAATTTGTTTCTTCTATTTTTTAAATTTTAAAAATTTAATGTAAATTGTTAATATCGCTGAAAATTATTTTGTTAAATTTAGGTTCATTATAAAAATTAGTTTGATTATTACATGATTATGTAATTAACATTTTTCTCAAAATATCAAATAAATTAATTTAACATTAGAATTTTAATAATCTTAAGAATTGAAATTAGATTTTTAAATTTGAAACGTAAATAAACTAAACAACAAAAAGTAAAAACTAAGGATTTAAATTTTAAATAGGAAAATAACATAAGAAAAACCTTGCGGTGTATTTTAACATTCTAAAGTGGAAAACGGAAATAGATTACATAAGAAAAAAGTAGGAACATTTACGGTATCTCCTAAAGTGGATATTTGTTAGGTCTCTCCTAATTTTAAAATTAAATATGATTTAATTAGGTTTATAATAGTTTTGAAGTTAGATAATGTAGTACCCTAATATTTTATCCTAGTTATAGTTACATCCCTCACTTGGAAGTTATTCAACTTTTGATGTGTTTAAAATGCCTGAAGCTGGAAAAGGACATCAGACATGGCTAAGGCTCTCTGCAATCTTCAGCGAGATATAACATTGGATAATGGCAAAGCTCGTTGCAAACGAAAAAGATCAACAAAAAAGCGCAGGTCGTCGAAGCCGTCGGAGTGTATAGCGAATTTTCCGACATGGAAAGAGCTGGTACGTTGGGCTAGGGTTGATGCTCAGTGTCTAGAAGAACGCTGCAATATTGGGTATAGAGCTGCCCCTATTCTTCGACTTGCTTTAATGTTTGCCAATGGGAAACTTGATGAGGATGAGATCACCAAACTCGAACAATCTTCCGACCCAACAGCCTTCCAATCTTTGTATCAAAAGTTGTTGGGAATCAAAGGCTTTGGCCCCTTTGTCTGTTCCAATATATTGATGTGTGCTGGATTCTATCAGAGGATTCCATCTGACACTGAAACAATCAGACACTTGAAACAGGTTTTTCACCCTTTTTTTTAAATAATTTTATTTTGTTAATCAACTCTAATTAATTTTTATTTATTTAATTGTTTTCTTGATATCAGGTACATGGCAAGGGGAACTGCTCTAACAACACAAATGCAAGAGATGTTGAGGAAATTTACGGCCAATATGATCCATTTCAATGTTTGGCCTACTGGTGACGAAACTACCCTTTTATGTTCGTACAAATTTAGGTTTAATGCATGAAAATGTACCATCTTTCCATTCCAGCTTTTGCTTTTCTCTTAAATGATGAGTTGTTTGAACAATTGCAGGATGGAACTGGTTGAGGAATATGAAAGCAAATCTGGGAAACTGAGTGAGCTAGATGCCTCCAGCTATCATCTTGTTACTGGTTCTCTGTGTAGGGACAAGTGAAGGAGAGAATGTTCCACTTATCAGCTGAATCATTAAGTAAATGGTTTGCGGTGGCACTTGGAGAAAATTTAAAAATATTAGATGTTTTATTTCGGATTCGAAATGGATTTGACTCTAATCAAGCATAGATTTGGATCGAATTAGATCCTAACATGATCCATATCTAACTCATCTCTTATTATGATTCAAATATTTTTTTCGAGTATTTCGGATTCCAAATTTTTTTAATTAGATTTAAATCAATTTTTCTTCGAATAGGTTTACACTCGAATCGAATTCAGATTAAATTATTATACTTCAACATGTGTTTCAGTAATGATAGGGTACACTCTAACCTAGAATTCATATTTAAATTTTAAAAATAATGCTTTATTATAAGAATGATAATTGTAAATTTTACCTTTTATGACCATATATATCATAAAAGCATGGTTTTCAGAACCGGACCGGTCACGGTTCACTGGTTCAACCGGTTGAACCGGTCGTAAGAACTGAACGAAGTCATAATTATTTAAAAAATTAAATAAAAATACTAAAAACATTTAATAAAAAATCAAAAAAATTTAGGTGGAACCGGTTCACGGTCTGGTCCGGTTCAAGCGGTTCAAAGCTGGTTCGAAAGGTTCCTTGCGGTTCACTAGAACCGATTCAACCGGGGTAGAATGGACCGGACAAGGCAACTGTTCCCGGTTGAACCAGCCGGTCCGCTTTTCAAAACACTGCATAAAAGGCTTTCTTTGGATTGTTGTTTCTGAGTTAAATCTATTTTTTCTTTTGTTCCTTTATATATGGTCATCAGCCAGAGTGTCATTCGTCGTCAAATTTTACAGTTTGAGATTAAAATTTCTTTTTGAATTCTTCGCTAAGTTTTAAACAAAATCAATTTAATTTAAACAACATTTTTTAACTTAAAATTTCAATTATTAATAAAATTAAAATTATTATATTGAATCGAAGTCTGCAATAATGTCATTATAAATATCACTTTTAAATTTAATTTTTTATTTTAAAATGTCACATCAATAAATTTAGGGCAAATTTCATTTTTTTGGATAATTCCATTTCATTACCCAAGAAAGCAGGAAACTTGCTCCATAAAACAGTTAACAACATAAATGTCAACTTAGCACACGCTGTGCAACCAACACAAACAGTGAAAGAACAAGAGAACACATACACCCCGACTTAAGAGATACCCCAATTTACACAGAGGGCGTCGTTTCTCGAGTCAGCTCTGCTGATAGTCCAGCCCTCCAGCCGAATCTGGATGGCTTCTTTAACATCTTTCAACACATCATCCACCGATCTTGTTCTACCCCAAACAACCTACTATTTCTCTCATTCCAAATGCCATACACATGACCAGCCCATGCAAGTTTAAACACTCTCAAAAGGAGAGACTTTCCTTTAAAACAATGAATAGCCCATGCCAATTCCCTATCCCAACTACTAACTCTACGGTTCACACCACATAAAGCATGTATGGCACCCCATAACTTTCTCACAAAACCAAACTCAAAGAACAAATGATCTCTAGACTCATCCTCAATACCACAAAACATAAATTTATCATTATCAATATTTAATCTCATTCTCAAAAGCCTTACCAGAGTAGGAAGTCTATTTAATATAGCCATCCACACAATAATGTTATGCTTTGGGATACGCCCAGGAAACCAAACCAAATGATTCCATGAGACTTTAGGAACCGTAATGTGCATATCCTCCCAAATTCACCTCGTATTAAGGTCTCTAACCGGACCAACAAAAAGATGAGAAATAGTAGGCCTCACTTTCAAAATACATTTGAAGCTCTAGCTGACATTAGTAGGGATACTCATCTGCCAAAAATCAACATTGCTTATCACATAAGAATGCATCCAAGCCACCCAGAAAGAGCCTTCATTAGCCAATAAGTTTATGATCAATTGCACAATGTAAGCTTTGTTTCAGCCTCCTACATCTTGTACACCTAGACCCCCTTCAGATTTCATTAAACAGATTTGTCTCCAACTTACTCGAGCACCTTTAGCAGGTAGGTCAGACCCCTTCCAGAAAAATCGAGAGCATAAATGTTCAATTTTCCTTATTATTGCTTATGGCTGTATAAGTTGCCTACAACAGTAGTTTGATATGCTGAATAAAAAAATGCAAACAAGTTGCAATCTTCCAACAAAACTAAGATGTCTTTTAGCCCATAAATTCAACTTTGCCCTTATTTTATCAATAAGGCGTTGGAAATCCTTCACAACAAGCTTTCTAGTCACCAATGGAACTCCCAAAAATCTCACAGGAAGATTTCCAAGTTTAAATCCAGTAATCTCCCTTATATCAGCAGACTGCTCAACAGATACCCCGACTGAATATATCTCACATTTACTAACATTTAACTTCAAACCCGACATGGAATATAATATATCTAAAATAGATTGCACTCCTATGATAGAATCAATATAACCTTTGCAGAATATAAGCAGATCATCAGCAAAACAAAGGTGAGTGAGGCCTATCCTTTTACACTTTGGATGGAATTTAAAAATTCTCTTCGAGACAACCACATTCAAAAGATTGGACATAATATTCATAGCAAGGAAAAAATGTATGGTGATAGGGGATCACCTTCCCTTACACACTGAGCACCCCTAAAATAGCCAACTAGGTTTCCATTAAACACAATAGAGTAACTGGGATTTGTAGAACATGCCCAAATTCAGCTAATGAATTTCTCAGGCAGTCCCAAAGCATACAAAATAACCCCCACAAACTCCCAATTTAAAGAATCAAAAGCCTTTTGTAAATCAATTTTTAGAGCACACCTTTAGATATTTTTTTCCTAATGTATCTCCTAACAAGCTCATGAGCAAGTAGAGTATTATCTACTATGCTTCTCCCTTTCAAAAAAGTAGTCTGATCGTAGAGATCATACTAGAAAAAAGAGTAGACAAACAACTCACTAAAATTCTAGTAACGGTCTTATAAATCACAGAGCAACAAGAAATAGGTCTAAAATCCTTTACCATATTCAGATTAGGCACCTTTGGAACAAGAACTACAACCGTTGCATTAAAAGAATGGAGCATAAAAGAATTGTTAAAACAATACCTAATGGAAGCTATAAAACCATCCCCACTATAGGTCAAGATCTCTTGAAAAAATAAGGATTATAGCCATCAGGCCCAGGTGATTTGTTATTCCCTTGTCCCCATATGGCTTCATTTATCTCATCATCAAAGACTTCCTTACATAAAGCATCTGCATCACCCTTAGGTAAGGAATAATCAAGAAGATGTTTGATTATTCTGACACTATAGCTCTTTACATCAGGGTCAGCCACCCCCAATTGATTTTTAAAAAAATTGATCACCTTATTTGACATGTCTTCAAAAGTATCCAAACTATCTCCATTTTGATCATACAACAATAATAAAGAATCGAGTTCCTTCATCACCATCTTTAATCCAATTTAATTTCTCTTTTTCTTATATAAAAGCAGCTCAGCCTTTTCAAGAACTTTTAATCCCTCTCAACTTCCAATTCAGCATTTATATTGTTGCCAGCAATAGCAGAATCCAAATTGGCAAGTTGAATTTTTTAATTCCTCTCTCTTTTTCTGTACCTGACCCGAAATGTCACTAAATCGAGCCCTAATAAGCTCTTTTAGACATCTCTTTAACCTCTTAAGTTTTTGAAAAAACACCTGAGCTGGATTCCCAGCAACCGGGGCCTGTCAAGACTCCTCAACTATAGACATAAAATATGGATACAACACCAAAAATTTAAGAACTTAAATGGTTTTGGTGTAGCTACAGGAGCCTCTTTGCGCAGCCAAACTAAAGAAAGGAAATGATCCAAATCACCTAGAGCTTGGAATTCAACATCAGAGGTAGGAAACGTTCCAATCCAGTTTAGATTTACAAGAACTCAGTCCAATTTACATGCCAAATAAGTATTGTGTTGTTTGTTCGACCAGGTAAACAGAGGACCAGTAAAAGGGTGATAAAAAATGCCCAGCTCCTCCATACAGTTCTAAAAATCAGAAATTTCAACATTCGTTCCAGCACTAAAATAAACCGAACTTTCCTCATCTTTTAAAATAATATTGAAATCCCCTTCTAACAACCAGGCCATATTACCCACTATACTTTCCACAAAACTTAGCTGATTCCATAGTTTCTTGCGAATACTACCATCATTTGAGCCATGCACTGCATTTATGTAAAAATCTTTTCCACCAAAACTGCCCTTTATAGAAACACTTTGGTCAAATACAGAACAAACAACAAAGTTCAATTTTTTTGCCAAAGAACCCAAATACAACCATTATCATCATGGTTGTAATTGCACCAAAACTCCCAATCACCAAACCTCTTATTCAAAATCCCCAGATTTACTCTCCTTAACTCTAGTTTCAAGCAGACACAAGATATTAATTTGACAACTAACAACCCACCTTAACACCTTACCTTGCTTTAAAGGATTATTAAATCCCCTAACATTCCAGAAACATATTAACATGACAAAATAGAAAAGAAAGAAGAACCAACTCTATCCTCCAATTTTTTAACTTTTTCAACATGTTCTTTATTCTTTAGCTTCAAATCCTGTACTATTTTTGCCACTCCAAGAGAAACACCTCTTTGCTTTCTACCAGAATCTTCAGTAGATACTCCCACCAAACTTTCAGGATCAATAGAATTAAGAATCTCAAACTTATTTTTTGAATTTCCCCCAACAGTTTTTCCACCCTCTTTAGCTAGCCTGCCTCTATATCTCTTAATAGGGGGATTACTTCCCTGCTCAGAATTTAGAGTGATAGCTCTCTCTTGATCAATTTGTTTAGTCACCTGAACATCCACCTTATCATAACAAACTTTTTCTTTACCAGGATAAATCCCATCTGACACTACATTAGAGTTTGTAGTTGCAGAAATACTTCCACCATTAACATTTACAGTACTCACATTCTCTTTATCAATCTGTTCAGTCACCTAAACATCCACATTATCAGAACAAACTTTTTATCTTCCAGGACAAGTCCCATATGATACTGCATTAGAGTTTGTAGCAGCAGAAATACTTCCTCCATTAACATTTCCAGTACTCACATCTTTTACTGCCTCATTACTAGTGGCAGAAACAACCTGCTTAACTTCATGTACATAACCTTTATCCCTCCAAATTTGTTCTACCTTTTTTCTCTGAGGACAATACTTCTCTAAATGTCCAAAGCGACCACAATCAATACAAGAATTAGGCATCCAAGGTACAATAACCTTAATCCTAGCCACTGACTCATCACATAAAAGCACATCAATATGGTCTGGGATCTTTGAACAAGCAAAAATCTCAACATAGACTCGGACATATTCAAGCGTTTCTCTAGTAGACGTAATCGAATCCATGTGGAGAGGTTTACCTATTGCACTTGCAATATAACTAAGTTCTTTCTTCAAAAACAGTTCCAAAAGGACATTATACAATTGTATCCAAACAGGCATTCCAACCAGATCAAAATGCATCTCTTTCAAGTTCGGTTCCCTTATGTTGAACATGGCAAGGACTATTCTCTAAAACCTAGTCCCTAACAGATGAATTAACAAATGAAAAAACAAATAAATTTAGTCCAACCAAACTCACCTTAAGCGGAGAAGCTTTACCCTATATCAGTTCAACTTTCTTCTGAAAATATTTAAAATTCAGAGCTAAGCCAATGAATTGCCCATCCAATGCATATCTTCATTCTAAGATCCTTTCCTCAAACACATAACGTGAAGGTTTCACTACAAAAGAACCCTCGACCTCCGTCGGTGGAAAGAGATCCAGCTCCTGTTCATTCCCCGTCGCAAAGAGTTTCCTCTAATCAGTAGCTCCCTCAGCAGACATGGCCTAACAAAACCCCCAAGAAAATTTTCGGAATTAACATAAAAGAAGCAAGAAACAAAGAAGAAATGGCTTCGTCTTCAGCCGCTATTAGCCCAACTAACATGTACCGAGAGAGAAAACTTAACGTGCGTCATTCCTTATGAACTTCTTTTTTAAAATTACATATTTAGTCCCCAACTATTCCTACAATTTTGTTTTGATCACTTTTTTTTTCAAAATCATACCTAACGTTACGTTGATTTTGTTTTTGGTTATCTATCGTTAAAAATAAATAAAAATGGTGAGTGACAATTTTTTTTTATTTTTTTTTCAAAGATGGTATTATATTATCTTATTGTTACACGTCAATGTTTGTTAATTTTTTATTGTAAGTGATCAAAGTATAACCAAAACTTAATAAGATATGACTTTAAAATAAACAACGTGCAGTTGGGTGATCAAAACAGACTTTTAGAAATGACTGAATATGTACACCTAGACTTATTAGTTTAAATTAAGAAAATTAAATTCCAAATATACACAAGAACTTGGAGCATATTTTAACTTTTCTAAATAGTAAAACAAATGAATAATTCCAAAATTAGCCCCAACGCTTGCCAAAATGATAATTTTGCCTCCTATTTATTTTCTGAAGCATTTTGGCCTCCAATATTTCATTTTATGGTAAAAATGCCCTTAACATTTGACAGAATAATCATTTTCTCTTATTATTTTTTTCTAGGGTATTTTAGCCATCAATGTTTCATTTTAGGATAAAAAGGCTTATATTTTGGAGTGTTGATCATGTGTTAACTAATGGGTTTTCATCTATAGAGGGAGCTTTTTGCCTCAAAGTGAAACGTTGAGAGACAAAATGCTAAAAAAAAGGAGCCAAAATGACTATTTTGATAAATGTTGGGGGCTATTTTTGGTATTATACCTAAAACAAATATGGGTAAACCCAAATGTGGTAAACAAGTCATTTAGATTTGATTCGGGTCAATATTATATCAGTCTTTTTTAAAAGTGTAGATACTATTAAAGTTGTATTTATAATTTGATGAGAGGCAGAGTTATAAGTACATGCAATGACTGATTCTTAAATCAACTATATAAAGGGGTTATGGTCCCTAAAGAAATAGATAATCTCATATTTTCTCTTATCCCGTCAGACAATTTATACTAAATGGAATTCTATATTCTTGGAAGATCACAACCACAAGGTAATCTTTAAGATCTCAACCTTCTAGGTAACTTCAACAATGGATTCAAATACACTTCCGCAAATCTAACATTAAAATTTTTTTCTTGATGGTTTGGCATGATTAGATTCTAATTTGATTTCATATTAATTTATGGTTTAATTCTCACAAGTATCACAATTTAATTTTTTTTAAATAAAAACTTTATAAACTAATTATTTTATATTTATATAATATGTTTAGATAAAATTTTCATAATTATAAATTTATTTATTATATTTAACTATTTATTAATAGATGGATTAATTGATTTACTGAAAAATTTATTATTAGTCCGTAAACATTTATTAAAATAAATAGTTTTCCTAATTCTAATAATGTTTTTAAACTTTTTCTCTTATTTGACTCTAGATTTTAGTTTACGGATATTTTAATTTTTTTTCTCACCAAATTTAAAATCAATTACAATTAAATGTAAGTAGGAAATAATATTTTTACTTGCTATAATTAAATTAATTTAAAAGTAGCCTGATCTCCTATAAATAAATTATATGAAATCTTTGGAAACTAACCAATTTATATTTAAACAATATTTAAAAAAATAAGATGATTAATTACCTCCATTATTTATTTACAATTCCCTTCGACTTTTATTTTGGTTGATAAAAAAAATCGAAATAATAAATAAATAAAATATTAAAGTCTATGAAAAAAATATAATTTTAATATAAACTTTATTTTTTAAAATAAAATATCCTTTTACAAAATTTTAAAAAGATAAGGTAATTAATTCATTCCTTTTTAATTTATTTTTACCTCCATTGACTTTTGGTTTTGGTTGACAATAACTAAAATTTCGCCAAACCACATTTAAATGTAAGTCAATACTTTTATTTTTACTTTTTATAATTAAAATATTTTAAAATAATTGTAATCCCTTATAAATAAAGTATATAAAATTTTAGGAAATTAATTAATATATATTTATAAAACATTTAAAAAGTAAAATAATAATTAAATTCATTATTTATTTACTTTCCCTTCAAATTTTATTTTGGTTGATAAAATAATTAAAAATACGATAAATATACTTTTAAAGTCAAATAAAATTTATTAAAAAAAATTAAAAAAAAAACTTTGTAAAACTATTCAACTTATATTTGCACAATATTTAAAAACAAGGTAAATAATTAATTCCATTATTTATTTGATTTTACCTCCAATTGACTTTTGATTTTTGTTGATAAAAATTAAATAGCACCAAATTAGATTTTTCAAAAGAAAAAAAGGAATCAACGCTGCAAAACCTAATTTTATGAATCTGCAAAGAACTTGAATCAAAGGTAAACTTTCTTTATGTTTTTTATTTTTTATATAGAAATCTCATTCGATTTGAATGAATTTATAAGTAAAAACTATCTTTCTTTTTTTTCCTTTCCTACAAACTCTATAGGCATGGAAATAAAGCTGGCGCTTGGGGAGTGTTCAGGCAGTTTCGACATGGAGAAAGCAGTGTGTAATCATGGCTTGTTCATGATGTCTCCGAATGTTTGGATCCCTTCAACTAAATCGCTTCGTCGTCCTCTTCGACTGGCGGACTTGAATCGCTCCGTTTTAGTCACCATCTCACACCCTCCCAACCAATCTTTCCTTGTTATACAAGTTGATGCCTCTCTCTCTCCTCCTCTGCTGATGAAGCAGCTATATTGGTATGTGTTTTTCTTTTTCATCATCATCATATAAATGAACAAGTATAATATATATGTATACAGCAACAAGTCGGAAGAATGCTAAGAATATCAAAGAAAGAAGAGAGAGGTGTAAGGGAGTTCCAAACAATGCATTCGTTGGCGAAAGAGAGAGGTTTCGGTCGAATATTTCGATCTCCTTCCTTTTTCGAAGATGCTGTCAAGTCTCTCCTCCTCTGCAACTGCGGGTATGTTTTTATTTTTAATATAAACAATGAGATCTCTAATGAAGAAGGTGATGACTATGAAAACTCTAATGGCGATGATGTTATGTTAATTTGCACCTTTTTTTTACTAGGTGATGACAATTTCAAATTAATTATTTGAAATATTTATCATAAGATGATTTTAAAAAAAAAATCACAATATCAAATGTATCATTCTGCTAATAGTTTTTGGTATAAATATTGTTAGTTTTATCGATAGTTAAATTAATTCTTGGCCTTCTAGATTTTTTTGTTGAACTGTATTTTTAAGTCCCATCGATTTAGTTTGTTATTTTAATACTTATTAGGTCTGTTTTGATTTTAAAATTAAATAAATCAAGTGGCCGTTATTGTTTTTATGATTTAAACAATATTTGAATTTTGATAATTTTTATCCCCAAATATTCAATTTTAATCTCATTCTTCATTTCAAAAATATAATATCAGGTTGAAGTTAAACAAAATATTCAATCGATTTTAAAATTAGTTAAATTAGAATCTACGAAGTAGCCTCATATATAGAAGAAAATGGTGATCTCCTTAGAGACTGTGAGTTCAAGTAGTGGTGCCTATAGGGTGTGTGCATCATTAATAAATTAGGAAAGTTATTAATATACCATATAGTAATCATTTTAGAATATTAAAAAAAACATAGTTAAAATTGAGTATTAAATTATTGTTTTTGTTTTGGATATTTGTTAGGTCTCTCCTAATTTTAAAATTAAATAGATTAAATTATAATTTTTATGGTTTAAATATGATTTAATTAGGTTTATAATAGTTTTGAAGTTAGATAATGTAGTACCCTAATATTTTATCCTAGTTATAGTTACATCCCTCACTTGGAAGTTATTCAACTTTTGATGTGTTTAAATGCCTGAAGCTGGAAAAGGACATTAGACATGGCTAAGGCTCTCTGCAATCTTCAGCGAGAAATAGCATTGGATAATGGCAAAGCTCGTTGCAAACGAAAAAGATCAACAAAAAAGCGCAGGTCGTCGAAGCCGTCTGAGTGTATAGCGAATTTTCCGACCTGGAAAGAGCTGGTACGTTGGGCTAGGGTTGATGCTCAGTGTCTAGAAGAACGCTGCAATATTGGGTATAGAGCTGCCCCTATTCTTCGACTTGCTTTAATGTTTGCCAATGGGAAACTTGATGAGGATGAGATCACCAAACTCGAACAGTCTTCCGACCCAACAGCCTTCCAATCTTTGTATCAAAAGTTGTTGGGAATCAAAGGCTTTGGCCCCTTTGTCTGTTCCAACATATTGATGTGCTGGATTCTATCAGAGGATTCCATCTGACACTGAAACAATCAGACACTTGAAACAGGTTTTTCACCCTTTTTTTAAATAATTTTATTTTGTTAATCAACTCTAATTAATTTTTATTTATTTAATTGTTTTCTTGATATCAGGTACATGGCAAGGGGAACTGCTCTAACAACACAATTGCAAGAGATGTTGAGGAAATTTACGGCCAATATGATCCATTTCAATGTTTGGCCTACTGGTGACGAAACTACCCTTTTATGTTCGTACAAATTTATGTTTAATGCATGAAAATGTACCATCTTTCCATTCCAGCTTTTGCTTTTCTCTTAAAATGATGAGTTGTTTGAACAATTGCAGGATGGAACTGGTGGAGGAATATGAAAGCAATCTGGGAAACTGAGTGAGCTAGATGCCTCCAGCTATCATCTTGTTACTGGTTCTCTGTTTAGGGACAAGTGAAGGAGAGAATGTTCCACTTATTAGCTGAATCATTAAGTAAATGGTTTGCGGTGGCACTTGGAGAAAATTTAAAAATATTAGATGTTTTATTTCGGATTCGAATATGGATTTGACTCTAATCAAGCATAGATTTGGATCGAATTAGATCCTAACATGATCCATATCTAGCTCATCTCTTATTATGATTCAAATATTTTTTTCGAGTATTTCGGATTCCAAATTTTTTTAATTAGATTTGAATCGATTTTTTCTTCGAATAGGCTTACACTCGAATCGAATTCAGATTAAATTATTGTACTTCAACATGTGTTTCAGTAATGATAGGGTACACTCTAACCTAGAATTCATATTTAAATTTTAAAAATAATGCTTTATTATAAGAATGATAATTGTAAATTTTACCTTTTATGACCATATATATCGTAAAAGCATGGTTTTCAGAACCGGACCGGTCAGCGAACCGGCCGTGCTACCGGTTCACTGGTTCAACCGGTTGAACCGGTCAGACCGGTCGTAAGAACCGGACGACGTCATAATTATTTAAAAAATTAAATAAAAATACTAAAAACATTTAATAAAAAAAATTAGGTTGAACCGGTTCACGGTCTGGTCCGGTTCGAGCGGTTCAAAGCTGGTTCGAACGGTTCCTTGCGGTTCACTAGAACCGGTTTAGCCTGGGTAGAATGGATTGGACAAGGCAACGGTTCTAGGTTGAACCAGCCGGTCCGGTCTGGTTTTCAAAACACTGCATAAAAGGCTTTCTTTGGATTGTTGTTTCTGAGTTAAATCTATTTTTTCTTTTGTTCCTTTATATATGGTCATCAGCCAGAGTGTCATTCGTCGTCAAATTTTACAGTTTGAGATTAAAATTTCTTTTTGAATTCATGGCTAAGTTTTAAACAAAATCAATTTAATTTAAACAACATTTTTTTAACTTAAAATTTCAATTATTAATAAAAATTAAAATTATTATATTGAATCCAAGTCTACAATAATGTCATTATAAATATCAATTTTAAATTTATTTTTTTATTTTAAAATGTCACATCAATAAATTTAGGGCAAATTACATTTTTTTTGGGATAATTCAATTTCATTACCCAAGAAAAAAAGAAACCTGCTCCATAAAACAGTTAACAACATAAACGTCAACTTAGCACAAGCTGTGCAATCGGCACAAACAATGAAATAACAAGAGAACATATACACCCCAACTTAAGAGATACCCCAATTTACATGGAGGGCGTCGTTTCTCGAGTCAGCTCTGCTGATAGTCCAGCCCTCCAGTCGAATCTGGACGGCTTCTTTAACATCTTTCAACACATCATCCACCGATCTTGTTCTACCCCCAAACAACCTACTACTACTATTTCTCTCCTTCCGAATTCCATACACATGACCAGCCCATGCAAGTTTAAACACTCTCACAAGGAGAGACTTTCCTTTAAAACAATGAATAGCCCATGCCAGTTCCCCTATCCCAACTGATAACTCTACGGTTCACACCACATAAAGCAAGTATGGCACCCCATAACTTTCTCGCAAAACCACACTAAAAGAACAAATGATCTCTAGACTCAGCCTCAATACCACAAAACATAAATTTATCATTATCAATATTTAATCTCATTCTCAAAAGCCTTACCAGAGTAGGAAGTCTATTTAATATAGCCATCCACACAATGATGTTATGCTTTGGAATACGCCCAGGAAACCAAACCAAATGATGCCATGAGACTTTAGGAACCGTAATGTGCATATCCTCCCAAATTCGCCTGGTATTAAGGTCTCTAACCGGACCAACAAAAAGATGAGAAATAGTAGGCCTCACTTTCAAAATACATTTGAAGCTCTAGCTGACATTAGTGGGGATATTGATCTGCCAAAAATCAACATTCCTAATCACATAAGAACGCATCCAAGCCACCCAGAGAGAATCTTCATTAGCCAATAAGTTTATGATCAATTGCACAATGCAAGCTTTGTTTCAGCCTCCTACATCTTGTACACCCAGACCCACTTCAGATTTCATTAAACAGATTTGTCTCCAACTTACTCGAGCACCTTTAGCAGGCATGTCAGACCCCTTCCAAAAAAATCGAGAGCATAAATGTTCAATTTTCCTTATTATTGCTTATGGCAGTATAAGTTGCCTACACCAGTAGTTTGATATGCTGAATAAAACAGTGCAAACAAGTTGCAATCTTCCAGCAAAACTAAGATGTCTATTAGCCCATAAATTCAGCTTTGCCCTTATTTTATCAATAAGGCGTTGGCAACCTTCACAGCAAGCTTTCTAGTCACCAATGGAACTCCCAAATATCTCACAGGAAGATTTCCAAGTTTAAATCCAGTAATCTCCCTTATATCAGCTGACTGCTCAGCAGATACCCTGGCTGAATATATCTCACATTTACTAACATTTAACTTCAAACCCGACATGGAATATAATATATCTAAAATAGATTGCACTCCTATGATAGAATCAATATAACCTTTGCAGAATATAAGCAGATCATCAGCAAAACAAAGGTGAGTGAGGCTTATTCTTTTACACTTAGGATGTAATTTAAAAATTCCCTTCGAGACAACCACATTCAAAAGACTGGACATAACATTCATAGCAAGGAAAAAAATGTATGGTGATAGGGGATCACTTTCCCTTACACCCGAGCATCCCTAAAATAGCCAATTAGGTCGCCATTAAACACAATAGAGTAACTGGGATTTGTAAAACATGCCGAAATTCAGCCAATAAATTTCTGAGGCAGTCCCAAAGCTAATGAAATGATAAAGTTATTATTATTTTCCAGAATTATAATTAGATTATATAAAATAAATTCTGATGCTCATAAATAATTCGAAGTTCTTATGCTAATGAAATGATTTCTCAAACTCCAAAAATAATTAATAGGATTTATAGGTAAATGAAAATTCTTAAATTAATAAAACAAAAATTGTGATATCAATTGATTTCCAGAATAAAAAATATCAAGTGAAATTGTTTGTGCGGAAATAATAACAAACATTCAATCTAACAAGCCAAGATTAACGGGTGAAGTGGATTTTTCCTTTGACTATTTAAATGTAAGTCAACATTACTCTTTTTACTTTCTATAATTAAATTAATTTAAAATAATTGTAAACTCTATCAAATAAATTATACCAACTCTTTGAAAACTAGCCAATTTATATTTTTACAACATTTATTAAAATAAATTTCCAAATTCTAATAATGTTTCAATTTCTTCTCCTTTTCACTCGATTTATTAAGGTGATTGATAAATTTTAAAGAAAAAAGATATATTATTAGAATCTAAAACTTTAACTTTTTAAAAATTTGGATTCTTGCGAAAATACTCAATTTATATTTGTAATTTATATTTGTGCACTATTTAAAATAAGATAATTAATTAATTTCTTATTTCTTCTCCAATTAACTTTTGATTTTGCTTGATAAAAATAAAAATAACGTCAAATTAGATTTTAGAAAATAGTATTGTTGGATTAAAATCCATAATTATGGGCATATCTTTATAATGCATATTGCTATCATAAAATATGATATAAATTAGGTCATCAATTATGTTATAAAGTCATAAGGTATTAAAAGTGTAGATACTATTAAAGTTGTATTTATAATTTGATGAGGGGCAGAGTTATAAGTACAAACAATAACTTATTCTTAAATCAGCTATATAAAGGGGTTATGGTCCCCAATAAATAGACAATCTCGTATTTTCTCTTATCCCGTCAGACAGTTTATACTAAAAGGAATTATATATTCTTGGAAGATCACAACCACAAGGTAATCTTCAAGATGTCAACCTTCTAGGTAATCTTCAACAATGGATTGAATGTATACATGTCAACTAGTAGAATAAAGGTTAAAATATTAAACATAATGAATTTCAAACTTCTTTTTATTGATCCGAACTGTTTAAACCATTTCTAAGCAACGCAATATAAAATCCAAGCCCAAAACCAAAAAGTTAAAACTCTGAGATGTGATCTCCAAAAGGTCATTTACTCGGCAAGGTGTATGTATGACTCAACAAAACTGGCTTATGAAGCCAACCGATTACCTGACTTTAACCAATTCAACTTCAAAAACCAGCCACGAGTTTGGTGGAATATTCTCACCTCTTCCTTCCTTTGTACTGCAACACAAACCAAACCAAACCAAACTCAAGAGCCATACAAAAATGCACAAACCAGCATGGAGTAGTATTTTCACACACCTCACCCATGGTGGAACTGTGAGTCTACGTTTGCCACCAACTTGCATGCCTACCACTCATCATTATTTAAATCATTACATATATAATTCAAACCCCAATAACTTAGTGATAAGCAACTTCAAAAGACAAGTTCATACCATCAATGCCAACCTTCCATGTCTCTTGAACTTGTCCCTCAACTGTGATAGCAACAAAGATACAAGTCCAACTCAAAAGGTTTAAAACCAAATATATTTGCAGAAGAATCTAATTTGATCAAAACTAAACATTGAACACACAACAATATATTTACAGAGCATGATTAAAGAAAAAGATGTTACCTAGTCGGAACTTTAAGTGACCTTTGTCAGCACTTGAATCAATTACTTCCCCACTGTCCATCAACTTTACGGTGTAATGGACGCGGACCTGATAGCAACAAAACTTTGTGAATAATTTAGCACCAAAGGGGGGAAAATACCAATTCCTTTCATCCAATGAAACCCCAGGGATAAAATACTACATGCCTTTTTACCAAGCGAAGCTATTTTCCCATTTGGTTTTCCCTTTTCTAACTCTTCAATCATAATTCCATTCGACAGCTGAATTTCCCGGTCATTAGTATTCTTGTCATTCAAGTCAACAGATTGCTCCTTTTCAGGGGCCGGTGGTTCCATCTTCGTACCATCCTGCTCTCCCTCATCCTTGCACCTTTCCTTCTTTTTCCTCTTCTTAGAATGACTTCAAGAAAAGAAAAACAAAGTGAACATCACACATTTAAGACTGAAATTGAGGAAAAAGGAGAAACACCTACTTATCATTAACATGAGTTTGGGTTTCCTTATCCTCCATAAGTGCATCCTCGATCACGGGATTTAAATTGGAACCATTTTTCGAGACCTCATCCCCTTTGGTATCATTGTCTTCAACGTGTTCCTTTCTTGTCCGAATTAGCTTAGCTCCATCGACAGTACTCACTTCACTGGGTGTCAACAACGGATTATCAGATTGACATATCCTGCAGTATATCAGATGGCAGGTATTACTAACAAGACAATTGCCACAAATGACACAACTAAGTAAACAAACATGGAAGCACAGATTTCATGCAACAGATAATTCTCTAAAGAGAGTACATCACGGACTCATTACTGGCCAGCTTTTGATTTTGATCATTTTGCTCGAATAATACTTTTTCAACCACACAATGATCAGCTTCCAGTAATCTTTCCTCCCTTACCAGCTCTTCAAGCTTATCTACATTCCTAATCCCTGATTTACTGCAAGCAAGAAGGAATAGAAAAAGTACAACGCAATCAAATGTAATTCAAAAACAATGATTGAAGAAGCAAACAGCCATATGTTAAACAGATGATAGTTTGCACCCGCAGATCATCTTCTGAATATGGTTAACTTAGCTATTGAATTTAAGTTCATTATTGTTATTGTCAAAGAAATACAGCAATCGTACCATTCAAGTTGAACTCCATTAATTCCTTCTAACATGGTAGCATTATCTTCAATCTCATTATTGTTATGGTTACCAGTTTCTTTCCTAGATTCTCCCCCTATATCGTCTTTTCCGCTCTTTGATGCGCGTTTTCCTGAAAACAGTGAGGAAATAGGCAATGTATTTTCAGTTTCACTGTCAAATAGTCCCCTAGGAGAAACACCATTGGTGAAATCCTTTTTCTGAGAACTTCCATTATCAGATTCACTTTTCTGGTACTTCTTCCTAAGCCTCCTACGCTTTCCTAAGCGACCGTTAAACTTTAAGGCCCGCATTTCTTCATTTGCTGAATTCATACACCAAAAAAAAAAAAATTTAAATTAGAAAGAAAATAATTTCAGATGTAATCTAACCAGAATCAATGATGATTATTGTTCCCTTGTAACAAAAAAGGCTAATTTAATGGACAAATGGTCAAAATTTCCATGTAAGAGGTGTGGTGAGACATACATCCAAACCCAGCAGGAGATTCTTCAGAAGATGAGAAGAGTTGTGGATCATCATCATCGTCAATAAAACTACCGCCATACTCACTTTCTTCACTACTCTTGGTCGGTTCTGTTTCGGTGTCTGCAATATCTTCTCCATAGGGTTCTCTAAGCAACATAGTGAAGGGAAACAACAGGAAAGAACCCAATAACACGAAGTAAATTCAAAAACTTAAAAACAAAAGGATACGATCCATCACTGTGATGACGATCAAGAGAAGAAGAGCCCAGATAGTAACCAGTAAGATGAACAGCTCGAGGACCAATAACGGAGAAAACGACTTCAACAGATTCCTCGAATTCCAAATTGAGTTGACAACACTCTGCCTTATCAGGAAACAAACTACACAGAAATACCGGCTTACTATGTCCAACATTACATTTAACTATGCTTTTCTGTACTCCACTACCCATTCCTAATGTCGCCTGACAAAACATATTTATGCCCTTTTTTTCAAAAATTTTGATATCGGATAATTGAAAAGCACGCATTAAACACAACAGATAAGGGAAAATAGAAAAGTTTAAAATTAAGTACCTGGGATATATGAAGCCTTCCATAGAGAGGTACATGTGTGAAGGACTTCCCAGGTTTCACTTCGGTTCCTGGAAAATGTTAACCGTAGCTTCACTTTTACAAGAAAAAGAAAAAGAAACCATGAAGAAAAGGAGAGCAAAGAGTATAAGAAACTAACCCCAGAAAGCCATAGCAGAGTGAAGAGATTACAGAGATGGGATTTAGGTTTTGGGTAAACCCTTATTTATACTGCAACTTGGAGGGAAACCGGATCATCACAACCGCTCTGCCCTTCTTTGTAAATATGAAATAGGCGGTAAAATCTTGTACGTGGGACAGATTATCCTTAAATTAAGTAAACAATATTCTATTTACTCTTTATGTATGGTAAAAAAATAATAATTCAATTATTCTAGGTCGATATTGTTTTATTAAATTTTATATCAGATGAATTATATATCACAAATTAAGTACTTTCACATTTCACTTTCACGGTATTTAAGAGAATGTATAATCACCATTTTTATTACTCATTTACAAACAATCCCCAAGTCCCAAATCTAAATTAACTAGGTCTCAAGCTCAAACCAAACCAAAAACCCTTTACAAAATAAAAATAAAAACTCGGACAGCCCCAAACCAAACCAGACCCGACCAAAACAGACTTGACCCGAGCCTAACCCTAATCCCTATGATAGTCGCCCAAACACCACAACCAAATGCCACCACCCTCTATCCCAATACCGGCAAAAGCCACCGATGCACGCCACCAAGCCTTCATCACTCCACGCAACTCTTGCAGAAAGCACAAAGCAAGCAAACAAAAATTGTAATGATTCATTTCTTTGTAAATGGGTAAAAAATCCCAAATAAAAATCTTGTAAGGGGTTCGGTTGTTGATACATCCAGAAGAAAAAAATACTTTTTAAGGTTATTTATCCTTTTCATTTGGAGTATCAATAACTTTGTTTGTATTGTGTTAGTTACGAATATTAGTAGCAAGCATATTTTTTTCTTTTGTTACTTACAGCTGTTCGAAAAACAAAAAAAAGTTATTTTTTTGTTACTCTTCGAAAATTGAAAAAAAGAAAAAAGTTTTATTTTCTAAAAAAAGCAGCAAGAGTAAAAAAACGTTTTCTTTTTTGAGTAACATAAACAAAAAAAACATCTTTTTTAGTTTCGTAATAATGGAAATAACCTAGGCTTTTTCGGAGTAAAAAAGAAAAAAAATAAAAGGAATATATTAGATCGAAGTTACCTGATTCGAAGAAGAGGCCACCGAAGTTTAGGAAGCCGAAGAGTCGGGGGCTTTTCCCTCGGATTTGGGGGTGTTTCTCGGCGTTCTAGCCCCAAGTAGGGGCCTAGGTTGGTAAATATGGGGTGTTTGAGCCTTTGGGGTTTTCGACCACCGCGTACGGCGGCCGGAGCGGCGACCGGCAGTGGGCTGATCGAGGAGAAAGGGAGAGCTCTCTGTTTTTTAATAATTTTTGTTTCAAATGAAAAAAACAATTAAGTGGTATTTACAAAACAAGTTTTAGGGAAAATTGTTGTTTAGTCCCCCGAGTTTTAGCGCCTTTTTGCATAATGGTCCTATAGAGGGACCTGTTTCATAATTTACCCATTTCTATTTGTTCTTTGTAATTTTTTTGTATAATTACTGTTTAGTCCCCTTACATTACGTGTGTTTTTGCAAGTTAGTAACCTGTTGGGACTTTTTTTTATGATTTACTCTTTTTATGCATGTTATATATTTTTAGGAAAAATTATTTAATTTTCAATATTAAAAAAACTTTAGGCTTAGTCCTTTTTAATAGGTTAATTTAGATAATAATTAGGTTTTTTGGTTTATCAATTAGTCCTTAACTTTAGAAATTATTGATTTAGGTCCTTAAACTTTTAGTCTTTTAGAATTGTATATTTTAGATATTTGACCTTTTAGTCCTCAAACTTCAATTAGACCTTTAAGGTTGGCATAATTAAATAGGTTAAATAGAGCCTCCACTTTTAGCTAGATTTCAATGTAGTCCTCTTAATTTAAGAAATAATTTGAGTCGGCCCTGGCTATAATGCTCAAGAGACTATCTCAGTTATTCGGTTCAATAATTGGTTTAAAAATAAAATAGGAATAATATTAGAGCCTACACTTTTAGGTTTATGCCTCTAATTCCTTTAATTTTCATAATTTGACACTTTAATATAGAAAAAACTTGACTTACTCTTAGCTTAATTAGGATAAATAAAAATTTGTTTGATTGCATTTTATTTTTAAACCTAAGGCAATTTTCACTTATTAGGGAATTAATGGTATATCTCCCGCAAATATACTCAGGGGTGACTACTGGTGGTTCCCGAAATAGGTCGACATCCTTCTCAAAACCTTATCATGTTTTCTAAAATTAAGGCAATATCTGATTATTAGGCACAATAATTGATCTCCTGCATTTATGCTGGGGCGAATGTTATCGGCCTTAATAAACGTATAACCTTTTTAAACTTTGCATTCATAATGATTTTCAAATTAAATAAAGATCAAACTTAAATTTTCGATTTTAAATATAGGGTAATCAACTAGGTACCAATTTTTGGGCGCTTGTAGGGGTGTTAATCATTCCCCACACATAATTGACTCTCAAACATGATTTTTGGATTTTCGCAGACCTTAAAACTCGATATTTTGATAAAAAATAAAATGTTTTAATAAAATTACCCGATTTTTATGTTGTTCCAATCGCACCTTAAATGATTGGTCGCGACTCCTCACATTTCATAATTCATTTCAAAGGAAAACCTCTAAGTTGGTACTGGTTTCCCCCACACAGACAAAAAAGGCATCGACAGCTTGGCGACTCTGCTGGGGACGTTTTGTTTTTAAAACAACTTGAGATTCGAGCTACGAGTTGATTACCCTAT